ACACAAAACGCAGATCCCCCCCCCCAAAAAAAAAAGTCAGCTGGGAGACGGGAAAATTCGAGGAGCGGGGGAGAAGAAGCTTTCTCTCTCTCCTTCTCAAATCTGAATTGTGCCACTGGGAAGACAAGGGGGGGGGGGAAGAAGCAACGCCAGATCCTGCACGGGGCGTGAGGGGGAGGGAAGGAAGGAAGGGTCAGGGTGAGGGCGAAAACAGCAGGAGAAACGGGGGCCCGAGCAGTTCTAGGTCCCTCAAGCGACAGATAGGGGAGCAGAAACGAATTAAGGGCCTCGCATCAAAAACTCCTGATAGAATGGCATACAATTGAAGTGATTTATTTTTTTAAACAAATACAACTGCGTAAATACCGATATGCCTGCCTTTCTCAAACATAAAGGTTTCGGAGTTTCTCTTCGAAAAGAATGGAGAAGTAAAAGAAAAGGAGAAAGAAAAGCGGAAAGCCGTTTTTTTGGTTGTTGTTGCTGCTGTTATTATTGTTTTAAGAAGGTAAAACTCTCTCCCCCAGTCTATCTAGTACAGTTTTTCTGCCAGTACCGGCTGCTTGTTTGTCCACACACCTCCTTGGGAGTAAACCCTACGGAGCCATGGGAAAATGACTTCCGAGTAAACAAAGGTGTCCTTACAAACACGCTCATTTATTTATTTATTTATTTATTTATTTATTTATTTATTTATTTATTTATTTATTTATTTATTAAGGGTCGGGTCGGATCCTAGGTAGACCGTTTCCATGCGAATGCTCGTGGACGCCTAGATTCAGGGCTACTCGGAAGGAATCCCACAAGTCCAACGGGGTTTACTCCCAGGTAGATTTATATTTAAAATGATCATCTCCGGATAGGCTCCTAATCAGGCCCCGCTAAATTCCCAATAGGAGCGAAAACCCAGGGAAATTACGGTTGTAAAGCGAATTTTTCTCTCTTTTGAAAACAAAGTGATCGGAACGAAATTTTGATTTAAATGCGTCGCAAGGAGGAAGTCTTCTGCCCTTATAAAACACCTATAAATGTCGGGCGGCTCTCACTTTACAAAAAGAGGAAACTTTCTCTTTTTTTAGGGTGAAAAAAAAAGCACCTTCATAAATTGAAGCCAACTGGATTGTCTTTCCGGAGACATTTATGTCCTTAAAACGGATGCATAAAAATGAGGGAAGTGGAGGGTGCCATAGCAGGGTGAGGGGCCCTTGAAAATTCAGATAAATATTCCTGGCATGCCTTAGGCCCTTTTTATACACCTCAGAATTTAGGGGAAGCGAACAACCCACGGTCCATTCATATGCCTCGTAACAGAACTATTGTAAGGAACAAAAATAAAATAAAAGTAGATGAGTAAACTGAACAAACAAAAATTGAAACAAAATTAATTAGTGGGGGAAACCAAAATATAACAGTTCTCCCTCGCTGGTACAGGGCAGGAAAATTTTAAGCAACAAAAAAATATGCATGAAGATCTTTTGATTCAATTGTCATTTACAACTTCTCCAAGAATTACCAGATCTCGTGGTCCTTTCGCAGAGAACCCTAAATAATTCCTCCGCTTTCAAGGAAGGTGTATGAAAAGCGAAAGGAAAAGGCGACAGGAGATGCGGATAACTGAGGCGAACTCTGTAGTGCCAAGGAAACCTTCCCCCGTGGACAAAAATAAGGGGAAACTGGACCACCGTTGCCGTAAATCATTCCGAATTTTAATTCCTGACCACTATCTGGTTGGCACGCAACTGAGCCGAAGGAGGCGGGTTGGGTTTAAAAACTACAAGGCGAACCCTTAAAAAGGCGCCCGATCTTTCAATTTTTAAAATGGAGATTCTTTTTTTACACGCAGGGGAGAGATTTCAAAAGTGTCCGTTTCCGTGGAGAGTTAAACAGCCTAACTTTAAACCTTTGCAGTAAAAAAAAAAGATAGACCCCCCCCCCCAAAAAAAGTTTAAAATGAACATGAGGGAAGAAATGGAAAAAAAAGGAAATAGAGAAAAGCGTTTTATTAATTCTTAAGAAATCGTTGTAAATGATAATGTATCAACCGCCTTCAAATAAAAGTCGGGGAAAATTACGCGGAGGCGCTCAAACCTATCTATGCTTCTGTTTCTCTTTTACTCCTGTCTCGGCTCCTCAAGTCCCCTTTTTTTTTTCCTTTCAAAACGAGTTGTTCGAATATGGCGTATTTACTAGGAATTATTGCTCTCAAGTACCCCAAACATCGGAGGGGAATCCTTCCAGAAAAGCAACGGTGTTTTGTCTTAAAAAAAAACAACAACACGAAGATGAACCGCCTTCGGGCTTAACCGCAGTTCATTTCTTTCTTGGCCATTCCTTCTCCATGGCATGGGAGAATTTAAAAATGAAAATGTGAATTAAAATGAAATCTGTCGATCGGGGCGGCCGGACCAAAGCGGGGTTCCCCCCCTCCGTCCCCTCCCTCCCTCCTTTCCCCAAACTTTGGGATCTGGGCCTTCCTCGGCCAGGCGAAGGGATCCGGCGACGCCTCTTTCTCCTCCTCCTCCTCCTCTCTCCTCCTCCTCCTCCTCCTCGTCGGGCCCTACCGTGTTGGTCTCGCCGCGGATCGCCGAGCTGATGGCCGGCGCGTCGCCTTTGGCTCGGCGGTCCATCTCGTCGATGACGCCGTGCATCTCGGAGCCGG